AAGATAATCTTTGTTATATAATGAAAGATAAGGATGAAACTCTATAGGGAATAATAAGTAGGAATTGTAAAATATTTACTAATGACAAATAGAAGTTAGAACTAAGAAATATAAAATATTGATATATATTTCATTTTGTAGTATTGAAAGAAATTACAAAGGTTCTAGTTACAATACAACAAGGGTAGGTTCTTGTTTTAGAAAAAATTAGTTTAGTCTTAACACGTCACAGTGCATTATATCAGTTATTATTATCTACATGTTAGAAACTCGTAACTTGTTTTATTCTAACGATTTCGATAACTTTGAAAATGAGTTAAATCCCTTTTAGCTCCTTCTTCTCCTACTCCTCCTCCTCTGACTCCTCCTACTTCTCCTCCTCCTCCTCTACCTCCTCCTACTTCTCCTCCTCCTCCTCCTTCTGATCCTTTATCTCCTCCTCCTCCTCCTCCTCATGATCCTGCTTCTCCTCCTTCTCCTCCTCCTCCTCCTCCTCCTCCTCCTCACAGAGTTTACCTTTTCTCCTCTCTATTCCATAATTTAGTCTCCCCTATAAACTATCCGTATTCCTGTAACTAGCTTGTTGGATGAAGAAGCCTTAGTCAGAGGAAATAGAAGGAAGCCATTAGTTTTTATACTTTTCTACGCTTCTTCTTCTTCTTCTTCTTCTTTATACTATACATTTATATATTATACTCTTCTACACTTCTTCTTCTTCTTTATACCATACATTTATATATTATACTCTTCTACACTTCTTCTTCTTCTTTATACTATACATTTATATATTAAAATCTTCTACACTTCTTCTTCTTCTTCTCCTTTATACTATTCATTTATATATTATACTCTTCTACACTTCTTCTTCTTCTTCTTTATACTATACATTTATATATTAAACTCGTCTACACTTCTGCTTCTTCTGTAAATTATACATTTGTATATTAAACTCTTCTACGCTTCTTCTTCTTCTTCTTTATATTATACATTTGTATATTAAACTCTTCTACGCTTCTTCTTCTTCTTCTTTATATTATACATTTGTATATTAAACTCTTCTTTCTTCTTCTTCTTCTTTATATTATACATTTGTATATTAAACTCTTCTACGCTTCTTCTTCTTCTTCTTTATATTATACATTTGTATATTAAACTTTTCTACGCTTCTTCTTCTTCTTTATACTATACATTTGTATATTAAACTCTTCTATACTTCTTCTTCTTCTTCTTTATACCATACATTTATATATTAAACTCTTCTACACTTCTTCTTCTTCTTTATACCATACATTTATATATTATACTCTTCTACACTTCTTCTTCTTCTTCTTCTTCTTTATACTATACATTTATCTATATATAAATTTGGCTTGTCTGTCTGTTTGTCTGTCTGTTAGTTTGTATCCAATAAACGTCAAAACGGCTGAACCGATCGGGCCCAAATTTTTTGTGGGACATCACTTGACCACAGGGAAGGTTTATGAATGATCAAAATTTCAAATATTTGTCTCAATCAAAATTTGATCTTCATTAAATTTTTGAAAATTTTAAAAATCCACGAAATTTTTTGCGAAAATCTGCGAACTATTTTTGTTTTGTTTTACGATGTACACAAAGAGAACATGTTCACAATTAATTTAGAAGATGGGCGCGAAGCGCGCTCTAAGGCTAGTATATTATACTCTTCTACACTTCTTCTTCTTCTTCTTTATACTATACATTTATATATTATACTCTTCTACACTTCTTCCTCTTCTTCTTTACACTATACATTTATCTATATATAAATTTGGCTTGTCTGTTTGTCTGTTTGTCTGTTTGTATCCAATAAACGTCAAAACGGCTGAACCGATCGGGCCCAATTTTTTTGTGGGACATCTAAGGACCCCAGGGAAGGTTTATGATTGATTGAAATTTTAAATATTTGTCTCCATCAAAATTCGATCTTCATTAAATTTGTGAAAATTTTGAAAATCCGCGAAATTTTTTGTGAAAATCCGCGAATTATTTTTATTTTGTTTTACGATGTACACAAAGAGAACATGTTCACAATTAATTTAGAAGATGGGCGCGAAGCGCCCTCTAAGGCTAGTATATTAAACTCTTCTACACTTCTTTTCCATATTTTCCGTATTCCTGAAAATATAATAATTTAAACAATTTAAATTAAAAACTAGTTTCTGAAAACAAATAGAAAGCCCCCCCCCCCCTCTCTTACACAGTATTTCAATAATTTAAATAGGCATTATTAATTATATAAACTCTAATTATTAATTATGTAAACCCTAATCAAAAAAGCTTTCTTTTTAATACTCAAATTTTTCACAATCATCATGACCTACTTTGAGAAAATTTTAATACAATATTGTTTTTTTTTCATAGGTTTATATTTTGAAATATCAAAGATTTACAACATCAGGTTTCAAAGATATAGGGATGAGAGCATTTCTGTTTGTTGTAATAACTAGTTCTTTTGTGCATATTCTATCCCGTTGTTATAACCAATACCCTGAGTTGTAACTATCCGTCCCGTCCTACTTTCCTTCCAATACACCTTCAGTCCAATACATTATGAAATATTAAACTTTTACATTTTATTGTAATATGGTAATATTGTAATATTGTAATATTATTGTTTTATTCTAATATTACAATGAATCATTTGAACAGGGTATAAAATATTAACCCTCATGAATTCTTTCTGGATCGATTTATTGATATTCATTTTTTAATTCACGCTTTGAAAATTTCAAGTTGTAAGTTTATTTTAGAAAAACTAAAACCGTTGAATCATGTTTGATAATCTACTGTAAAGAATGGTAAGACACGCGGTCTTTCAATTTTGATTTTTTAACCTCCCCTCAATGTAAAAACTAAATTTTAAATGTAAAAAAGATTTGTTAGAAAAAACAGGTTTACTTTTGTCTTAATTAAGCAAGGAATTGATATTACCAGTTGATTGCTAATGAAATGTGTGAATAAGGATGAATAAATGTAAACCCTGCGCCAACTTGACACAACTACAAGAACCAAAAAAAACTGTTGAAAAGGAAAATTGCATTTCAGCAATCTAATCTGTATTTGATGTTCAAGCAATTAGTTTTACCCATTGCTTGCAAGGAACTATACATAAATCATGATGCTCACAACTACAATAGCTATATATTCTCATTCCGCCCCGCCCCCTCCCCCCGCTTAAATGATGCATTATCCCTAAATTCTGTGTTTTGATCTCCTCCCACTGTAGTATAACTACACAGATTAGACGCATCCTAGTCTATATATTTCTTGGTTGGTTGAAAAACAACTTATTAAAGGCGTGCCTTACTGTAGTTTCAATGGCATCTTATAGTCTCTAAACTATTTTTACCGATTCATCTAAATCGGGGCCTCATGTCTAATAAATATATAATCTATTTGAAATGTTTACGGAACTGTTTATATTCAGATAAACTTTTCTATGTTTACTGTGTCTGAAACCTGGCCGGGTTGGATTAGATTAGATTAGATTAGATTAGATTACCCTGAACCTTTTCCTTGATAACTCCATAATCCAGCATAAAAAGGGATTTTATGTATCACATCCACAAAAAAGTATGTCTGAAAAGACTAAACCAACCTTCCATGGATATACATCTGAAATGTATAGAGTTTTCCTTAGTAAGTAATGTTAATAATGTTGTAATATATATAGTAAATATATAATGTTGTTAAGCTAGTTTACCAAGTTTACCAAGTTATAAGCTTAGTTTAACTTTATACGTTAATTAATGGGAGTATTTGCTTAGTCCTATATTCTTCTATTATCTACATATTCTTCTATTATCTTCATATTCTTCTATTATCTACATATTCTTCTATTATCTACATATTCTTCTATTATCTACATATTCTTCCATTATCTACATATTCTTCTATTATCTTCATATTCTTCCATTATCTACATATTCTTCTATTATCTACATATTCTTCCATTATCTACATATTCTTCTATTATCTACATATTCTTCCATTTTCTGTGTTTCCTATTGTTCGAGATATATATAAATATATTCCAGCTCATGGTTTGTTGGAGTCCTGATAATGTGAATAATTGAAGGATTTAAGGAGACTTAGGAGGAGGGGGGAGGGGGGAATTCAGGGGAATATTGGGGGATACTGGGGGAATCCCTGATTACAGGGGGATTCTGGAGGAAACCTGAGGTTGGGGGATTATGGCTGCTAAGGATATAGGGAAAGGATTAGGGAGTAAAGAAAACACATGAAAATTCAATAGTTGTTTTCCTTATTAATTTTCATTTTTGAATTGATTAATCAAAGGAAATATGTTTTTGCCACAAACTATATTTTCTTGGCCCCTCTAACCCGATGTTGTAAACCTTTGATATATCAAACTATGAATTATGTTCCAAAAGTTCCGCAAAAACTTTTAGTCCAAATCTGAACAAAAATCTTAAGAAATAAAACAGCAAAAATGTGTTTACTGTTTATAAATGAATTACATTTTGAATTTTTAAGAAAAAAAAAATGTGGAATGAAAAGTTCCATTTTGCTATCTTAGCAAAAAAAATTTTCACGGATTTTTTTTGTCATAACTCAATAGATTTTTTAGAAACGTTGAAAAACATAAAAAAACCATTTTCTTATGAATTTCTAAGGGCAAATTTATTTTTTACAGAAATTATTATTTATGAAACAATAATTATTTTTGACTTTGGTCAATTTTACTTCAATATTTTTCCACCGGAAGCATGATTTTTTTAATTAAATACTAATCCCGTTTTTTCGACTCATCTTGTATAAATATGATTTACAGAATATACCTAGCTATAATATATATATATATATTTAGGATGATGTATGTACCAGTACAAGCTAGGAGAGGGAGCTATATACCTAGCTATAATATATATATATATATATAGGATGATGTATGTACCAGTACAAACTAGGAGAGGGAGCTATATACCTAGCTATAATATATATATATATATATATAGGATGATGTATGTACCAGTACAAGCTAGGAGAGGGAGCTATATACCGAGTGGGGAGGACGCACAACAACTTCAAAATCATTTTCACATGGTAAATGGTAGACGTGGATCAACCAGAGAACTAAACCAGGTATATCGTAGACATGGAATTTTGGTAGATCGTAGAAATGGATATTTGGTAGATCGTAGACATTGATTTTTGGTAGATCGTAGAAATGGATATTTGGTAGATCTAGACATGGATTTTTGGGTAGATCACAGAAATGGATATTTGGTAGATTGTAGACATGGATTTTTGGTAGATCGTAGAAATGAGTATTTGGTAGATCGTAGACATGGATTTTTTGTAGATAGTAGACATTGATATTTGGTGGATCGTAAATATTGATTTTTGGTAGATCCTAGACATGGATATTTGGTAGCTCGTAGATATGGATTTTGGTAGATCGTAGACATGGATTTTTGGTAAATCGTAGACATGGATTTTTGGTAGATCGTAGACATGGATTTTGGTAGATCTTAGACATGCATTTTTGGTAGATCGTAGACATGGATTTTTGGTAGATCGTAAATATTGATTTATGGTAGATCGTATAGGTGAATGTTTGGTAGACCGCACACACGGATATTTGGTAGATTAAGATACGAAAGTCTATTTAGAAGAATGAATAAATAATTGTTTTACATTATATAAGTTTCTACTTTCCCCCCTTACATGGTTTTCTTCTTTCCATTTCTATACACGTGAAAACTTTTAAGCATTTGGAAGCGAATAGTATTCATCTAAGTCCTGAAACAGTTTTTCTTTTTTCTTTTCTCATGAATATATCATGTACAAGTACCTTTGTTTCGGCGAAAGTGATGGAGATGTTCGTGTTTTTCTGTCTGAAAATTTATCAATTTTATTATCACTTACAAAAAGAATGTTGATAAAGGTTGCCAACTAATAAGTGGGGCAGCACAAAACATCAGTTCTTGATTTTAAAATTTTTTGGTAACAAAACCGTGAAAAGGTTTTATGGATAAACTCTGTTTAAAAGTTCCAGTCTCTGGTTTTCCTTAAAAGCCTTCGGCCTATCTTGGTAAACTTCCTGGGGGGAGGAACATCGAGCTTCTAAGAATTCCAACCAATGCAATCTAGAACCTTTATCTTTATTTTTGGATAAAATATTCAGAATACTAAGATTAAAAAACCTAGTCAAAATGAACGAGAACAAATCTGGTCAAACAACTTTTGATATCTCTGGGTCAATACAAGTTAATAAGACGTTTGAATTCGAAAAGAAGTAATTTCTTTTTTTTTAACTATTTATTTTTATACCTCAGCATAAATATTAAATGATAATAATCTATTTTCAAAGCCCCGGAGAAATAGTCCCCCCGGTGGCCCACTCCGGTATGCCGAATACATTAGCGCCTGATCCAATCAGGGTTCAGTCATGTGTCATGTGTTTGTTGTCTATTCTGAACCAAAAGAAATAGTATTACGGTAACATCTATCTTTCTATCGATCTCATCATCAAATTAGAATTATGAATCCTTCAATCGGCGCTATCAGTAAATGGAAATATTTACTTCTACTAAAACTATGGTGGCGCCCCCCCCCCTTCCCCCTTCCTTCTTTTAAAAACTAACCATGGATTATTTAGTGCCCAGATATCCGGTTAAACCACGGAAATGACCCGGGAGATGAACCCGGACACAATCCTCTACAGCGAAGACGATCTCTCCCTAAAACCCCGAAGAAGCATCAGAACTCCGGGCATAACGGTCACCAATCAAACCAAACCAAACACAATCAGAACCAGTCCAGCTATAATCAACAGTATAGTTATGATACGGTAATGGCATTGCTAAACATTTTTAGCAATTTTTTCACAAAGATTAATTAAACTATTTAACATGTTAAACTAGCTCTTACATGACAGTTAAATAAAAATCTGCTTGCGACATTTCCCATGTTTGACGCTTTTTTCATTTAAAGTTGTCTACATTTTCCCGATTTCACCATTAATATAAATATTTTCAATCTACTAATGGTTAAGAGAATAAACTAAATGTATTCTCGGTATTCTTTTAGAGGTTGGAATATAAAATAATTTTGATTAACATTCAAAAATGAAACACCATAACTTTCTATTTTTATGAATCTTTTCATGTGATCCAAATTTTACAAGCTTTCACGCAAAAATCTAAGAGAATTTTTCCAATTACTTCCTGAAAACTAAAGCTAAAAATAAGTACTCTACGGTTCTTAAATGTAGATGTCTAGAACTGTGAAAAATATATTTAACAATTAAAAAAAAAATTTTTCCAATTGATTTAATAATAAATATTACAAAATTCCAATATTTTCCGAGACTGTTAAAAATTAATGAGAATTAATAAGGTAAAATAAAAGGCCAAGGCGACCGTTGTAAAGTTTATAAACAGTTTTTCAAAATACTTGAACACAGACTTATAAAGTGAAATGGTTATTTGGCTAAAGGCTATGTTTCTTTAGTCATAAATTGGGTCTAACAGTCTTCCCATTTCACAGTTGTATGGGTCTCAATGTATTCAATATTTTCATAATTTAAAGAATGTTATATTTATTGCTTAATGATTTTCTAAGGAAAATAAAGTAAATAATTTATAATTTCTTAACAAAAGTAAATGGGTTTATGTTTCTCAAACAAATGCCAAAAAATGCGCGAAAATAATAATTATGAGTAATTAATTAGTTTATTCGTGAAAAGGGTATTTTTGAAACATTTCTTTAAAAATGGTTAATGGTATGAAATGGTTATGAAATAAAACCAACTTTATCCAAGGATTTACTCATTTGATTTATAACTCCGGTACAATTCTATAGAGTGTGTTACAGAAAATCCGCCGAATTATATTTGTCATCTGATTGCTTTTTTTAAATTTAAAGAGATTAAGTCCTTTCTTGGTGAAAAACTGCTGACTCATATGTGTTTTTATGATATCTCATTTACTGATGATGATTGTCGTATCTTTAGAGATTTTTTGAAAGAATTAACTTAATCGGTTGAATGCAAGAGTTAGGGATAAGTGCTTTCTGAAGTTTCGACCTCTGGTCTTCTTCTAGAAAAGTATTCCTTCCTAAGGTTTGATCTAACTAAAACATAAAGGTTTACTGACTGGTATAAAATGAAGAAAAGTTGTAAATGTTCAGTTCAGCAATATTGTTTATGTTTACTATTTAGCTAAATGTTTAAAAGTTTTGAAATAGAAATGTAAACTAGCAACTTATCTAAAGATAAATAAGATAAAAGGACAACGCACTTAAGTAAAAGAGTCTAGGAGACGTAATTTCAAGTATCACTGAAATTAAAGAGCGGCAAGTCCTATTTACAACGGTACCCGGCCTTTCAACCTTTGTCTAATCAAATTTCCCGGAACTCAATTTTCAGCTATAAGAATAAGGATATCTAAGACAATTGTCCAGACCAAGGTTTAAAGGTACCGTTGTAAACCAAACTTGCCACTTAAAAATAGCGGGAAACCGGAAGTTCTGCGCAGTCTCTCTTTAAGAATATACCCTTGACTTACCAGGGCAAGATGCGTTCAGTTTCTTCAATTAAATTCAATAAATAAATAAATGAAAAAATATCGATTTATTGTGATAAAATCAAATAATGATTATCATTCACAATTAATTATAAAACAAATGTGGAATAGCAGATCTTTTATATTTTTTTTTCATGGCATGATTAACATGAAACTGCTCCTGGTGGTGTAGTTGGTGTTCAATAGGGTGAACCGCATTACATTCAATCGCTTTTTGGTCTTATATTCTACCATACTTAAATTCTCAGAGTTATCTTTCGTTGCCTTTTTATTCAAAACAAATCATCCCACAAAAAAGTATTAGAGAGAAAAAATGTTTAAATGGTCAAACTATGATCGGAAGTTTGTTTTTTGCATTTTAGGAGTTTGAAAGCCCGACACCAAGCATGGTTTGGGATGAAAAGCAACAGGCCTACATACCTAAATATCAGGTATAATGAATATAATTAAAACAAATTATAAAAAATTAAAATATAAACTTTTTTAGATAAAGAAGAACCATTTTGAGGATCAGTTCGATCAGTACTTATATCAGTCAAGACATATCAGCACACCGGTAAATATCTTTATATATGGGATTGTTAAACAATCAGTACTCTGGTATATATCTTTATATAAGGGATTGTGTAACAATCAGTACTTCGGTAAATATCTTTATATATGGGATTGTTAAAAAATCAGTACTTCGGTAAATATCTTTATATTTGGGATTGTTAAACAATCATTACTAAATATCTATTGAAATGGATTTTTCGTTAAATAAAATGTTTATTATTTCTTAATCTTAAATCGTTAAAAAAATTATAAACATTACCTTAAAATCTTTCAAGTTGTTTAAACTTGTTTTTTCAAATCTTTTCTAGTTTCAAATCTTCTTCCAATTTTCTGTGTCAGAAAATTTTAAACCAAAATCAAAAATACTTTTAATTAAAATGTGAATTTTCCTGTCATGAAAAATATTTCTCATGATATTTATAATATGTCATAAAATTCATAGTTGACATTTAGCATTTACATTATCGATAAAAATTAATTATGAACATCATAAAAACTTACAAATTTTTAAAAAGGTTAGAGAAAAAGTAAAAATTGAATATTTTCTATTCTGTAACTTTTGTAAAAAACAGAAATTAAAAGATTGAGACGTTATTTTGTAAAAAAATATGTTCAATTTACCAAAATATTTTAAATAAGCTTTCATGAAAATCAAGATTAAATTTCTTTAAAAAAAATAATTAAATTTTCTTTTCTCCAGGTCATAAAGACTCATGAGGCACCAGAACTGGTTCTAGAGGTTCCTTCAGATAGTGATTCATCTAGACGTCCTAGTGGTGTATCTATCTGTCCTAGTGATAGGACAGGACATTCACAATCCCCTAGAGTTAGCCAGGTAAAGCCCCCCTCCCATCCAATCCCCTAGAGTTAGCCAGGTATAGCCCCCCTCCCATCCAATCTCCTAGAGTTAGCCAGGTATAGCCCCCCTCCCATCCAATCCCCTAGAGTTAGCCAGGTATAGCCCCCCTCCCATCCAATCCCCTAGAGTTAGCCAGGTATAGCCCCCCTCCCATCCAATCTCCTAGAGTAAGCCAGGTATAGCCCCCCTCCCATCCAATCCCCTAGAGTTAGCCAGGTATAGCCCCCCTTCCATCCAATCTAAACATAAGAAGAAAATCAATTTAAATCAAAATTACTAGGCGACTTTGTGACCTCGCAGCTCCTTTATTTTGGATTTTACTCCCCAAATATACTAAATGCAAATTTATAATTCATTACTTATGTTCTTATCAAGAGGTTTTTAAGAAAATAGTTATTATTTAATCAAAGTTACTTTAGTTCAACATAGTTTGCAAACAGATTAAAACTATTCAATCGAAAATTGCACCAACAAAAAATTAAACCAATGAAATGGAGGAGTATTCATAAAACTCACTTAACAACACGAATAAATATTTAGATATTAAAAAAGGTTTTATCAAGAAACGGTAAAATCTGAGTGTAGTTGAGTTTAATCCAACCCTTCCTCATATTTCTTGGCAACCTCGTGTGACTATCTATCTATCTTAACATTATTTACCTGGAATAGTATAATCACGCGAGATTTCCAAGAAATGACGAGAGGGGAGCAGGGATCCACAACGGAAAGGTTTTTCATGATATTTTGGTTCCTTGGTAAAGCATTTCATGGTTGATAGAATTGTTTAATAACATAACAGTGCTAATCAGAAAGACGGGAATTAATTTTCAATCAGACGACTTTATAATCTTATTTTACAAAGGAATTGAGTTTTTGTCACAAATTGGAATTTTCTAATCCCTCTCTTTGCAACCTGATGGTGTAAACTTTCATTATTTCAAACTTAATCAAAATTATCATTAATCTATGATTTCAGGCCCGGATAGAGATCGAAGGATTAGTTATACCTGGAGCAGTTAGAATTCAACGGAGAGCTTCGCATTGTGGAGAACTTCAGTCTCCAGGATCCATGACACCCTTACTCCCATCCTTACTCAAGGTATACACCCTTTCTCCCATCCTTACTCAAGGTATACATCCTTACTCCCATCCCTAGTCAAGGTATACCACCTTGCTTTCATGCTTAATCAAGGTATAAACTATCCCTTATTCCTATTTTCACTCAAGGTATACAGTCCCTTATTCCGATCCTCACTCAAAATATTCACCCTTACTCCCATCCTTATTCAAGGTATAAACTATTCCTTACTTCCATTCTTACTCAAGGTATATAATATTCCTTACTCCCATCCTTATTCAAGGTATAAACTATTCCTTACTTCCATTCTTACTCAAGGTAAATAATATTCCTTACTCTCATTCTTACTAATAGTAATCCTCTTACAGTTACTGAAAGCTTACGGCACAAGTCTCATCACAATTTGCATTCCTTTCACCTACCTTGACCTTCTTAAATCCTCCTAAGTGCCTCAGAGTAGGAGTAGAGGCCTACCTTGACCTTCTTAAATCCTCCTAGGTGCCCCGGAGTAGGAGTAGAGGACTACCTTGACCTTCTTAAATACTCCTAGGTGCCCCAGAGTAGGAGTAGAGGCCTACCTTGACCTTCTTAAATACTCCTAGGTGCCCCAGAGTAGGAGTAGAGGCCTACCTTGACCTTCTTAAATACTCCTAGGTGCCCCAGAGTAGGAGTAGAAGCCTACCTTGACCTTCTTAAATACTCCTAGGTGCCCCAGAGTAGGAGTAGAGGCCTACCTTGACCTTCTTAAATACTCCTAGATGCCGGGCCCCGGAATAGGAGTAGAGGCCTACCTTGACCATCTTAAATACTCCTAGGTGCCCCGGAATAGGAGTAGAGGCCTACCTTGACCTTCTTAAATACTCCTAGGTGCCCCGGAATAGGAGTAGAGGATCTTCTTTACCGGATAATATTGGTACAGAGCAACTCTACAGGTATTGGACCAAATCAAGTGATTGTTTAACTTTTTGGTTATACATACAATTAGTACATATTTAGTGCAATCTATATAATAAAACAAGACATTCGTATATATATATATATGTTGCCTATAGCCGGCCAAACGGCTGGACCGAATGGGCTGAATTTTTTTGTGGACACTCATGGGTGGCCGGGGTGTTATAGGCTAAAAAAGTTAGAAATTCTTTTAAAATTTTTTTTAAAAATTTAAAAAAAAATTTCCACGGGCAACGCCGGGCCCTTCAGTTAGTACTCATTAAAGATAGAAATTTGATTTAATAATTCCACGTGACATTAAAACATTAAAGAAGTGAACAATCCCTTTTTAAATTCATCGACAGGGTCCAAATGCATAAATTCTATTTTTCTTGGCATGAATTTATCTTCGATAAAACTTAATTTCAATTTTATTTGACATGAATTGGCTGTCTGGAGACTCAAGTCTGATGTCCTATCCAATTCTCCTTGAAATTGGAGGCATAAAAGCCAATAAATTTTACACATCAATTCAACTTTGAATTTAAAATGAAAAAGTTTGATTGTTTGGTGTGTAGTTTACGAATACAATGTGAGTGGATGTTAGGGGGGGGAGGGGGTGTTAAAATTACTGAGTTAGTTGTAGTTGAGATGGAAGCAGGGTATTGGAAAATTGGGATGGATAGAAATGAATAGAGGAAATTAATGATAAAATAATAGGTATACAGTGGTTACCAGAAAACAGTGGACAGATCGTTGTCTTCTTTCTTCAATTTTACTATGATGTTGCTCAGCATTTTATAATCTTTAAGATTGTAAATGACAGTTTTCTAAGAACGTTCAAGGCATACTGAGTTTTTGCCACAAGCTCTGATCTTTCAATCCCTTTTTCTGTGCAACACGATCAGACCAAGGATAATTGAGTAAGTGAGAGAGCAGGGATAATTGAGTAGGTGGGGGAGCAGGGATAATTGATTATGTGAGGGAGAAGGAATAATTGATTAGGTGGGGGAGCAGGGATAATTGAGTAGGTGAGGGAGCTGGGATAATTGAGTAGATGGGGGAGCAGGAATAATTGAGTATGTAAGGGAGCAGGGATAATTGAGTATGTGAGGGAGTAGGGATAATTGAGTATGTAAGGGAGCAGGGATAATTGAGTAGGTGGGGGAGCAGGAATGATTGAAAAGTTGAGGGAGCAGGGATAATTGAGTATGTGAGGTAGCAGGAATAATTGAGTAGGTGAGGGAACAGGGATGATTGAATAGTTGAGGGAGCAGGGATAATTGAGTAGGTGGGGGAGCAGGAATAATTAAGTGGGGGAATAGGGATGATTGAATAGTTGAGGGAGCAGGAATAATTGAGTAGGTGGGGTAGCAGGGATAATTGAAGAGTTGAGGGAGCAGGGATAATTGAGTAGGTGGGGGAACAGGAATTATTGAGTTGGTGGTGGAGCAGGAATAATTGAGTATGTGAGGGAGCAGGAATAATTGAGTAGGTGAGGGAGCAGGAATAATTGAATAGGTGAGGGAGCAGGGATGATTGAATAGTTGAGGGAGCAGGGATAATCGAGTAGGTGGGGGAGCAGGGATGATTGAATAGTTGAGGGAGCAGGGATAATTGAGCAGGTGAGGGAGCAGGTATAATTGAGCAGGTGAGGGATCAGGGATAATTGAGTATGTGAGAGAGCAGGGATAATTGAGTAGGTGAGGGAGCAGGGAAAATTGAGTAGGTGGGGGAGCAGGGATAATTGAGCAGGTGAGGGAGCAGGTATAATTGAGCTGGTGAGGGAGCAGGGATAATTGAGTATGTGAGGGAGCAGGGATAATTGAGTAGGTGAGGGAGCAGGAGTAATTGAGTATGTGGGGGAGCAGGGATAATTGAGTAGGTGAGGGAGCAGGGATAATTGAGTAGTTGAGGGAGCAGGGATAATTGAGTAGGTGGGGGAGCAGGGATGATTGAATAGTTGAGGGAGCAGGGATAATTGAGCAGGTGAGGGAGCAGGTATTATTGAGCATGTGAGGGATCAGGGATAATTGAGTATGGTAGAGAGCAGGGATAATTGAGTAGGTGAGGGAGCAGGGATTATTGAGTAGGTGGGGGAGGAGGAATAATTGAGTATGTAAGGGAGCAGGGATAATTGAGTATGTGAGGGAGCAGGGATAATTGAGTATGTGAGAGAGCAGGGATAATTGAGCAGGTGAGGGAGCAGGTATAATTGAGCAGGTGAGGAAGCAGGGATAATTGAGTATGTGAGGGAGCAGGGATAATTGAGTAGGTGAGGGAGCAGGGATAATTGAGTATGTGAGGGAGCAGGGCTAATTTAGTATGTGAGGGAGCAGGGATAATTGAGTAAGTGAGAGAGCAGGGATGATTGAGTTTGTGGGGGATCAGGGATAATTGAGTTGGTGAGAGAGCAGGGATATTTGAGAAGGTGGGGGAGCAGGAATAATTGAATTTGTAAGGGAGCAGGGATAATTGAGAAGGTAAGAGAGCAGGGATAATTGAGCAGGTGAGGGAGCAGGTATAATTGAGCAGGTGAGGGAGCAGGGATAATTGAGTAGGTGAGGGAGCAGGGATAATTGAGTAGGTGAGAGAGCAGGGATAATTGAGTAGGTGAGGGAGCAGGGATAATTGAGTAGGGGGAGCAGGGATAATTGAGTAGGTGAGGGAGCAGGAATAATTGAGTAGGTGAGGGAGCAGGAATAATTGAGTAGTTGAGGGAGCAGGGATAATTGATTAGGTGGGGGAGCAGGGATAATTGAGTATGTGAGGGAGCAGGGATAATTGATTATTTGAGGGAGCAGGGATAATTGAGTAGGTGAGGAATAAAATTAGAATATGTTAATATTTGAAGTTGCAAGGTTTGTATGCTACGCCAGCAATATTCTGATCTCCAGCTCTGTCAGCTACTATATTCAACATAGAGATTAGATTGCAAGGACCATTGTTTTTCGAGTGAGCTTCATATTGACCCTTTCCCAGATAACCCTGGGTTTGTGAACATTATCCGTATATTTATCATTTAACCGTTTAAAATATATATACAGTTTTTACTTTAGAATTTAACCCAACTTAAAAGAATTTTATGAAACTATTGTTTACTTTATCATTCTTACTCACTTCATCGTGAATTTCATAAGAACTTGCTTTAAAGTAATCATAGTGCAATAAAGTTAAATTAGCTCTGTATTATGTGTGTTATAAAGTTATGATTGGTTCCCGGATTTTCTCCAAAAAATGTATGATATTTCCAAAATAATATTTTTCAATTGAAATGAAAATAAAATTGAAATTTATTCTATTTTTTTACTTAATTCTGTTTTATTTCTAAGCTTATTTAAGATCTATAGAAATAGCCATTGAAATAAGACAAGTACACAAATGTTTAAAATAATTGCCTTTAAAACTTTTATTTTGGAAAGTGTGGCGGATATGAATATCGTCTTCCAGAAAAACTTTCTAGAAATCCAAGGAGGCGTTTCAAGATCAGCTGATTCAAAACATGTGTTACTTATTCAGATATTTTTACTATATAGATTTTGATTTTAAATAAAGTTAGTCGTTTTGAAACTCTTTTCCTTTTAAGTTGTAGCACGCCAAATTGGTGACCCCGGACTTTTTGAATACGTTTTCTAAAGTTCTCTTCAAAGCAACTCACAGTGTCGTGATATAAGCCTAAGTGCTCGAAATAGTTAATCCGTGTCACTAGCATTTTTCGGCTGAAAAGTGATCCTGCCTCCCTGTTTTCTCCACAGGCTCTCACAGTAAGC